GAGAGAGAGAGAGAGAGAAAAGAGAGAGAGAGAGAGAGAGAGAGAGAGAGAGAGAGAGAGAGAGAGAGAGAGAGAGAGAGAGTTCCTCTCCAATTCACTGCGGAATCAATTATTATATCACACGTGTATGGCCTAAAATATTTATCCGAGTTGCATACAAGCACTAACATACATACACAGAGTGTGACGCCAACCCGGACTCAGCCTCTGCATATATCTACACATTAACCGGGTGTTTTTTCTTTATTTCTCTTGTCGACCGTCTCGCAGGTCGACCTCCGTCATCCACTTCCTTCTGTTCATGGACATTATCCCTTGCATCCTCATTGTCATCATGCCTCTCTACATGTACGTCTACCCCTTCATCGCTTAACGATATACAATTTATCACCGTCTGGGACGTGGTTGATCCCTCAAGCTTCCTCTTCCCATCCTTCTCCGCCTTATTCAATAGTTTCATCATCTCATCGAAATCTTTTTGCACCTCACTCGCATGTTTTGCATACCCACCTTGTTGCATTCAATATGAAACTGCCACGTTTGTGGAAGGAGTGGGCTCTCCATCTGCGATGCACTCTAGTTTTCCGCCAGAGTTAATAGAGGAGGCCCGTACGATGCAACGTTCGAAGGATCTTACCGATATTCCGTGTTCCCTTGTCCACCCTCATTATCTTGACATTAGTTTGACTCATCGCTTCCCCGACACTGGCAGCAAAGTGTGTCGTCGACTGGCCCCCAAGCTGTGAGCATCCCAACTGGATTGTCTCGATGCCTTGACATGCAGGAAGTTTGATCTTCCAATCGATGGTCTTGTATGACCTGCTTGACGACAAATCATAGAACTTGTGTTTGTATTCCAGCTGATTGCTGGCGTGCAGAGAATCGAATAGCAATTGAGCCTTCTCCTGAATAGCTGCCTCGTCCGCTCCATCGTTTTCACACTTGAGACGGAATACGATTTTGCTCTTCGTCACTTTCAGCCACGGTACTTCTGCCAGTCTGGCTTTGACTTTCCATCTTGATGTTAGATGCACTGACATCATCCACTCCCCTTTGAAAATGCATGGCTCGAATACGTCTGTGTGCCATAAAATGTGGTATCTCCACTTCTCAGACGTCGTTTCTGGCACCTTGTCTTCAATGAAGTATGGCTGTTCACTGAACTGCACAATGCGATCGGGATCATCATCACCAGGCATCAGCCTTGGAAGGGCATCTGGAACCGCCAAGTCATCCTCATCGTCGTCTGCCATCATGTTGTGTTTCGTGTTTCCTCGAAGAGTGCGATGCCTCCCCTGGAGCCCATGACGATTGCCATGAATCAATGTATTCTCAAGTGCTTAGAGGGGCATAGGCGAATCCGTTTGCGTCTGTTCAATGGAACTCGCCCTGCCGGTCACTTCACGTGTTGGACTGCTCGCACCTCCCGATTTCGTGCGACCTTCTTCTCGATTCTTGTTCGGCACGCTGCATGCCGGCACATTCTGCATTCCCTCTCGCAAACGTTTCACTCGCTCTTCGCAAGGTCCGATGTTTCGGTCTCCTCGTCGCTCTCGATAGGATTTCATGCATCGGTTGTTTTGACAATTTTGTTGTACTCATCGTACGACAGCGTAGCCTGATGTGCTGCGAACCTCATTTGTTCACATCTCGCCACGAACATTGCAAACGCACCCACCTGCGCTTTATGGTAGCCACCATACGCTTCCTATGCCATCGCTTCAAGTTTGCAAACTATGGAGTCATTCTCGAATGACGATTTGGGTTGGCCTTGGAACAGATAGTCCCACATCTTGTTTCTCTTCTTGCCCAGCTTGTGGTAAATATCTATATCCGGGCGATGCGCCGTCTTCTGCCTCTCAACCGTGCAATTGTTTCTTGCGTCATTTTCAAGAATGTCGATGGCCTTCGTCAAGTACGAGATGTCTTTGGACGACCTGTCGCACACAAAAACATGATAGCCTGCGCACAGAAGTTCTCACACAAGTCCAGCATGTGGCTTTCCGATAAGTAACACCCCCTGATCCTCGTGCAGAAATGAACTACATAGCTTCTGCATCCGTGTCGGATGTCGTTCCCACCGCCCATATTCCTCTCGTTCGTTTCCTTCATCGTTGCCGTGCTTTGTTGTGCACCTCTTGAACTTCTCCTCCTCAACGTGAAGCTCCACTAGCTCCGCCTCCGACTTAGGGATCCTCGTGACCTTCCTGAGGTCGCCGCCCTCGGCATGCAGGACGACCATCATCGTGTCTTTGTAGTCGGCTTGCAAGTTTTCGTACTTGCTGACAGTCGTCCCAACGAGATAACGTTTCCAAGTCCCGGGTATCACCTCTACGTCGTCCAGTTGTACAGTTGCCGCATGACGATCTTCTGTTGTTTTTGCGGGGCAAAAAAAATCAGAATCCAATTACTGCCGCACAATTTTGACATCATTTTGTGCAGAGCATTGAAATCGGCCAGCGACCATGCAAGGCAGTCCTTCAGGTTTGCGAGATCGAGGATGGCAGCCTTGCAATTCAAGTTTGTAGCTGCAGTCACAATTTCGTCGGCCTCGGGCAGCAACTCCTTCGGGTGCATGCTGACCGGCAGCAATGTCGACTGTCACCCTTTCTTCTCCCAGCACAGATGAAGCGTAACGTTCTTCAACCGTCGCAACTCAGCTGTCAGCAAGTCCACTTTCCCTATGGCGTAGTACACGAAGTACTTGAAGTGGAATGGCGCGTCCCTGTACAACGCCTCCGTGGCCTTTAGACCAGCTCCTTTCAGGTTTTTTTCCACTTGCTCTCCGCCGAGTCTTTTCAGAACCCTCCGGACGTATTCCAAAGGGATCCTATCCCTTTCCTCATCCCATTCGCCTGCCTTTACGTCAAACCTCTCCTCCACATTTTCATAGTCAAAGAAGTTCCCGTCCTTCTATTCTTTCGCCTCTCTGTTCTCCAATTTGAAGACGATGTAGTTGAACAGACGCATCATGTACCTCTCGCGCATTATGATGTCGAGGAGGTTGGTCATGTTCAACTTCCCAGGAGGAACCAGTCTAGTAGTGGCGATGACTTTCTTATCTATCATCAACCGCAATGCAATTTCTTTCTCTCGTGTCGTTGTATCTCCAAAATATTTGAAGTTTGACGGAACGAGATCTTTGAAGGACACCGTAGCGTTCGGTCCCCCGTCCCTAGCTGCTATGCAATGAAACACCTCCTTCTTCCCCTGCACCTCTTCGGTGAATTGACCCGGCAACCGCCCCTCCTACTTCCCCGGCAAGTCCTTCGGGCATTTGTTGTCGTGTAGCGGCAACTCCCCCGCCTCGAACTTCTGAAAAAACTCCTTTGCCAAGGGCCATATCCTGTCCTTGCATGTGGCGACATTCATGTATCCCCTCATTCTCTTCGTCCAGTCCGTTTGCCACTTTGGAGATAAAGACTCTGCCTACAACGATTTTTCACATGACTTCCCCATAAAAAGTCTCAAAAATTTCCTCCACTCTTCCTGGTGCGCCACACCGGTGGGATCCCTTTTGGACACGTTCCCCACTGGCCCGATCTATTTCTTCAAGTCTCTAAATCCTTTGATGTCCTGGCAGGCTTGGTGGAACGACGACAACATAGCACGGTCAACTCTCGTGTTGTCGTATGTCGAAACATACACGTACCCGTTCGTGTGGTCGTCGTCGAAATAAATGATCCGTACACGATCATAATTCCGAAAGCCGAACACCTCATCGACTTCAGATTTCCTCGCCACTGCTCTTTTCATAGCTTCGAAAGTATGTCGACCGGCAACCGGGTAATAGAAATACTCGTCTGCCATATCAGAATCGAAGTCCTGTTGAAGGACTCGTGTCCCTTGGCTATCCGGATGCTCAAGCGATGGCATAATCGGAGCCAGCACCAACTCCGGTGGATCCCACGGGGCTAATCATCCGCGGACCTTGGACGAGTTGATGCCTCGATTACCGCATCGATGGCCAAGTTCAACGATTGCTGGTTGAAGGCTATATCTCCCGCCGGAATTGGGAGAATCTGCACGACGTCAATCACCACCCTAGGCGGGTCTCTTCTCTTTTTGTTGTCGTCGTCGTACTCGAGGAAGAAGCACTGCGTCATGTTGACTGCACTGGTTTTCTTCGTCTCCTGCTCATCGTCGTTAGGGAGGGAGAGCAAGCGAGGGGCCACGCCTTCAGCATCGTCGCTGGAGTCGTCCGATTTCTGACGCCTTGATGGCCGCACGGGTTTCTTGGGTTGTGACGTTTTGTGAATCCGAACACTTGATTTGCATTTCGGATCGACGCCACCAAGCGTCCCTTGAGATGCATCCAAGGCAACCCGAGCTTCGTCCACAACTTTTCTTCGAGCCTGTTTCTTAGGCGCAGCAGGCTTCGGTGACGATTGTGCAGTGTGTTTTCCCCTCCCCTTGGAAGCAAGCTTTGCGGAAGCATCCTCGTCTTCTACTTCGTCTTCCAATTCGTCGTCTCCCATTTCCGAACCACGCACAGCACCACCGCCCACGCCACCGCCCACCGCAACCTTTTCCCACTCCATATGGTCTGCCCCTCCTCCGACATGTTCTCGACGCTCTCCAGTACCACACTCCCCTTCATCCTCGTCGTATTCCCCATCGTCCCTCACCTGGGCTTCGGCACCTCCACCAGCTTCCCACCCCACATTCACATCGCAAGAGCCTTCGCCCTGGATGTGCCGAGGTGTCGCTTACAACCACGATTGCAATTGGTGAACCCGTTCGTCTTCTTCCGTTTCTTCGTCCGACTCCTCGTCCGTTCCAAGTTGAGCGGTGTCCCGCCAGCGCGAGATGGCACCAGAACGCGAGCTTCCAGGAAGATCCGAAGGAGGCCTGGCGAGCCCCTTCTTCTTCGGAAGGTTTCCCGATGGACCACTCCCCGAACGCCTCTGGTAAGTAATGACTTTCTGCTTCCCGCCGGCATGTTGTTGCGGTGTCGACAAGACCTGCCGCTGATCGCTAGAGCACGTTGATAAGCCTGCGAGACTCTCGACAGGAGCATCGAACGGGACAAGAGGTAACGAGAGCTGGTGACCAGCGGCGACCGTCGGGAATTGACCACTTTTCCTAGACCCGTTGGTCTTGCTGAGGAATTCAATGGGTAAGAGCATCTTCAAGGCATTCTCATCTCGATTGCCGCCGAAGGCTTTCATAGCGAATGCCTTCTGACCATACCCCTTGAACAGAGCGAGGTCGAGGATGACCTTGTGGTTTGTCTTGACCCAGTCAGTACCCTGCTGATCGTACACCGAAGTGAGGAAGAACTTCCTCAATTCTCGCTCGTCGACCTTGCCCTTCTCCGCCGTTGCCTTGTCAATTTCAGACCTGATGATGCCACCACAACAGTACCAGGTCGCCCCTTCGTCCTCCGTAAAAAACACAGCAGCACCGCACCCGGACTCGCCGGCCACTCCGACCCAGTCGAGAGCCCACGCCTTGTCGCGATACAGTTTCGACCTGTTGTTGTACCTCTTATCCGCATCATTCGGACCCTTACGACCTCCCCCTGGATGAGATATCCATAAGAAAAATGACGAGGGATGCATTAATGTCACCTATCTCTATCTCTATCTCCTGGAGCACAAGATGGGACATTGCATCAACAGAAGCAATCGCAAGGCACATGCCGGCAGCACAAGAAGTAGAGCCCCGAAGAGTTTGGACCCCAACCTTGCACAAGGAGGTGGCGAGGGTCCAGCGTTTGTCAAACACCGGACCCCCTTCCAAAAGCACTGCCGGTGGGCGGGGGGCGGCACAACGTTTAACAAACGGCGGATCCCGGCGGCGGCCTGTGCTTATGGAGGGGTCCAACGTTTGACAAACGCTGGACCCCCGCCTATGCCTCGGCCGGCAGGAGGGGGGTCCAGCGTTTGCCGAACGCTGGCCCCCCCGCCTGCCAGCCGACCCATTGGCAGGGTTCCAGCATAAGTCAAACGCTGGAAAGCTGTCAATGCGTCGGCCGGTACGCAGGGGGGGCAGCGTTCGACAAACGCTGGACCCCCGTCCACCGGCCGTGCCATTGGTGGGGGTCCAACGTTTGTCCTTCATCTGGACCGTGCAAAAGCACGGCCCGTGGGCGGGGGTCCAGCGTTTGACAAACGCTGGACCCCCCGCCTACCGGCCAATGCATTGGTGGGGGTCCAGCGTTTGTCAAATGTTGGACCCCTTGCCTACTGGCCGATGCATTGACGGGGGTCCAGCGTTTGTCAAACGGTCGACCCCCCGCCTACCGGCCGATGCATTGGCGGGGGTACAGCGTTTGACAAACGCTGGATCCCCGCCCACCGGCCGTGTTTTGTTTGGGGGTCCAGCGTTTCAGAAACGCTGGACCCCTCTGGGGTGCACGGCCCGTGGACGAGGGTCCAGCGTTTGACAAACGCTGCACCCCTCCAAATGTACGGCCCGTGGCCTCCTACGTGGCATTACACAAAGATCGCCAT